AAAAATATATTATTTTTATTTTAATCGTTTATTAACCATTTCCATCTTTTTGAACTTGAGTGAATTTACGAAAATAAATATTTATTGTATTTTTTAAATGATTTTCACTTTAAAATCCTGTTGCGAATATCAAAAATGATGAAAGTAATTTTTGTCACTTTTCAAAAATTACGCTTTAATTATTTTTAAAAGCATGGATTAACGTCTTTTTTTAAAAAATATTTTGATGAATTTGAGTGTTACTTATAAAATTTCATAGCACTGAATGAATCAAACGATTAAACATTTTAAAGCAAATTATTCTAAAACAAATATTCAAATATTCACGACTTTATAAACAGAAAACTTTTTAAATAAATTACGAAAAATGTGTCGAGTAATTTATAAAATTTTTAATAATGTATTGTTAGTTAAATTCACTGAATGGAAATAATTTTTAGTCAATAAAAAATTTGCTTTTAAATTTAAATAAGCGTCTATAGTCATGAAAAAAATTATTTGCGCTAGTTTTAGGTGTTTTAAAGAATATATACTTTTAAATTTTAAAAGTCATTATTGAGAGTTTTTATTCAGAATAAAATTTATTTGCACAATGAATTGATGAAAGTATTCACAATGCCTTAAGGGAATAATTTTATCTTAAATATTTTTTCAATTAAAACTTCTAAAAACTGAATTTATTTTTCGATCAATTTAAAAACGTTTATTAGTATTATTTTAGAAGTGTTTGCAATATGCATATTTATGTAGTATTTATTTTCAATGACTAATTTCAAGTTATGATCTGGATTTAGGATCAAAATATATGTGTGCTAAATTATTGCTGATGTGTTTTTTAATGACTTAATAGGTTCAAAAACTAATGAACACGAAGCCATGCAACAATGCTTCTTTGTTGATGAAATGTTGTAAAATACATTCCATAGTTTCAGAAGCCTTTCTGATATGTAATCAAGTAAAATGTCTCGTTTTAAATAGCAAAATGCAACTTAATGTATGCCTTCAGAATATTTCTGATATGTTTCATTAATTTGTTAAACAAAAAGGAGGATTTCAAAAGAGCAAGAACAAAAGGAAAATAATTTAATTACAAATAAGTTTAGTATGCAAATTATTTTAGCAATGTTTTAATGATAGTAAGAGAAAATATGAAAAATCTTCATTGTTATTTAGCTGCGTACTTTTTTTTCACCTGAAAATTATTTTACGAGATGTCACTATTTTAAATAATTTGTACCGATTAGTAACATTTTTGACCAAATCTATAAAAATTCGTGAATCATTACGTTTTTCTGAAGAATCATAATCTGCAGACAATAAATAGGGGTTTCTGAATTCAGGTTTTGAAATTGTCTCACCCTAGGATTGGTGATGTCATTCAGTTGATATCATTGATTTCATTTTTTTTTAATATTTCACAAAATTTCAGGTTCACACGTTTTTTCTCTCACGCATATTTCATTTTAGTTCGTGATTTTAAAATAATTTGGGCACCCTATATCTGATATTTCTCACAAATATTAATTATTTTTCAGATGCACCAGTATGTAGCCTAAATCTTAGAAGAGTATACGGAGTTGGGAGACTAGAGGCTGTGAGAGTTTTGTGTGAATTGGAAGCAGATCCACCTAATCTAGAATTTCATTGGAGATTCAATATATCAGACAGAAATCTAGACATTTCTGACTTTACATCCAGTGGCAAAGAAAGTGTGGCAACTTATATTCCTAGAAGTGATGATGAGTATGGAACGTTATCCTGCTGGGCTACAAATGACGTCGGATGGCAGAAAGAGCCATGCATGTTTTCAATTGTTCCTGCTGGTAAGTCAGCTGAGAGATTTCAAAATTTGAAATACCAGTACAAAGTATTATTGATATACTTCTCAGAATTATTTCATTACACTACTAAAATTGCTTAAATTACAGGAGCATTCTACACTGTGAAAAATTCCGGATCAAATTCCGATAAAAAGTACAGGCAATCAGTTTACCGGTACTTTTTATCGGAACATGATACGGAACAAAAATCTGATATATCGTATTCTACTCAGTAATGATTGCCGTAAAATCACTGAATTACTCTAATTGAATAAAAACACGGCATAATATAAGTTACGGCATAATATTATACGATAAAAATGGATTTTACGAATGATGTACCCAAATTTTCTGTACTTTCTACAGTAATTTGATACGAAAATTTTCACAGTGTATAATGGATTAAGCTTTGAAATTACTGGATAGTATATTTTTTATTTATATTTCCACTTGCCCAAATGCTACCAAGCTGCAAATATTGTTATTTAAAAAAAGAATGAAAATACATTGTGAAGAGATAAAGGAGAAGCATAGGAATATAGAACTATTTTTCTAATGAAATTTAAGGAAACTACCTGCGTTATTGAGGATAGAATTTAATAAACACATGTAAATTCTTTTAAAAAGGTACGATGAAGCAAAAGCTTAGTATTTATATTTTTGGAAGCTCACCTTTAGCACATTTTTATTATTTTATAGCACAGTAATCATTAACTCCATAAGTAAAAAAGACAAATAAAGGGTCATTAAATGTACATTTTATAGAAGAGATTAAAACATATAATGTGCCCATTTTAAAAGTATGTATATTATTAAGGTGTTTCATATTTTTCTTTCTTACTTCGTAGAGCTTGTTGAGCATTGGATATGTTTTATTACATGCAAAGTAAAAATCCCTGCCTTGAATTAAGGTAAAAAGTACCGGCACTAAAGTGGACGTTACATTTTCACCGGAATATGTTACGAAATTTTTTAAAAAATCTGATATACTATTGTTCTAACAGTAATAGTTACGGTGAAATCACCGAACCCCTCTTATTAAATAAATTTTGTTGTAAAAATTACGGTATTCTATTTTACTCGAGAAATTGATTTTTCGGTTAGAGGGATTTAAGAGTAAAATGGATTTTACCGTCGATGCACTTAAAGTGACTGTACCTTGTACCGTAATTTGATATGGAATTTTTTACAGTGATACGACGTCGGTAAATAGTTGTTAAACGCAAAAGCCAATTTTCAAAAATATAGTGATGGTGCTTGTCAATGGTCAGTGATTAACTGTTTATACAAAAGGGGCAGAAAACCACGATACTACTAAAGTAATTATGTTAATGTAACAAGAAATGATGTAAGAGTAAAATGAAATATAAAAATAGCGCGAAGAGACATTAACATAAATAGAAGAAGCTTTAACGTAATAAGAATTGAACTCAAAGCAGCTTAAATTTCTGATAATATCAATTATCAGAAGGCTGGTCAGAGGATTGAAACAAATGATAATATCATTTGTTTCAATCCTCTTACCAGCGTTTACTAAACTGAAATATCTGAAAGCGATGAGTTGTTAAGAAAAATAATGACGAAAATATCTAAATTTTTAAGCACTATTTTAGTTTTGGGCTTATTTGTTAGAAATGCTGTAAAATTTCTGTCATTCACTCGAAATTAAATTTTAGTAAGGGGTCAGAACAGGAAATATTTCGTAATCATTTTTTTTGTTTTGTTGATACTTTGAAATCGTTCTGTTAATCTTTAGTATCTTAAACAACACAGTATTGTTTTTCAGTTATTATATTTTAATTTAAACACTATTGATAATTGTACGCATTTATTTTTCCATTAATATATCAAATTGCTCTAAATTTTCTTAAAAAAATTGCAGAATCCAATTTAATTCCTTCTCTTTTTAATTCTTAAAAAGTGTTCACATGTTCTTAAAATAAAATAAAAAATGTCTCTCTTAATTCTCGATTACTAACGAAACTTTTTTAATATGAGCTGCCTTTCTTTTTTGCTATTACGCATAATTAATGATGCTTAAATAGCAAGGATATAATTCCTTTGAAATCGTTTATGTAATCTTTTTAATATTAAACATCACTGTTCTTTATAATGTATTATATTTTAGTTTAAATATTATTGGGAAGGGCATACATTTATTCTTTCATTAATATACGAAATAAGTATATACCTTTTTAAACAATGCGTGGTCCGATAGGATTTACCCTTTCTCCAGTGCTCAAAAAGTGCCCAAATGTTCTTTAAATAAATATATTTTCTTCCTTAATACTTTATTACTAAACATATGCAGCAACGGATCATTTTCTATTTAAGCTGATTTTCTTATCTGTTATAAACATAATTAATGATGCTTAAATAACAATGATTGTCAAAGGTTTAAGTAATAATTATTTTCTTCTTTTCCCCTTCTTAATTTTTAACTTCTATAACTAGACGGCTCCGCCCCCTGCTTGCTGACGCTCGCCAACCCCCGGAGAATTGCTTCGCAATTCTTGCTTGGTTTGCTTCGCAAAACCAAGAATGCTTTGATTTCATATATTTCAATATTAAACTGAATATTAACTGTTATCATCGAAAAGAATTAATTTTCTTAAATGCAGAATAAGCAGTGTGTCAATATCAATGTCACTTTTTTTCGTTGACTACAGTTCCTTCTATGTCCTATTTGTTCTCTAAATGAGCCAAAATTGTCAGAAATTAACATCAATGTGCAGATATAATCTTAATATGAAACTTGTTTAAAAAAAATGATAATCACAATAATACAGACTTTGTCCCAAAGAAATGAATATATTTTTAACACATTTAATTCAATATATATATATATATATNAATATTGAATTGGACTTATTTGTTTTCCTTTTTGCGAAGGCATTTGATAAGTCCATCCTAAATCGCCTTTAGGAAAAAGTAAAGGAAAGACCATAGGATCAGCATGTTGAGATCTTTGGTTTATTATACTCGTTTCTCTTATTTCTTGTTTAGGATATACAGTTAAATCGCATACAGGAACAACACCATCTTTGGAAACAATAATGGCAGCTAATTCAGAAGAAGTAGGTTTATTGTATCTTCTTTTATCATCGAATATAAATCTTTGAAATTGTAAAACAAATTCACTATCATGAATAGTTAAATCTCTGAGCATCCGATATTTCTGTGCATATGGATTGACTTCCCTTAATAATTTTTCAATATGCCTTGTCAACTGAAGATTGTCTAAATTCATGCGTAGTTTAATAGCCTCCTCAACACTGTCATAAATATATATTTGTCCATTCCTTGGAGCATTGGTTGCTGAATTTAGGGATGTTGTCGCATGGTGATATACTTGTCCTTGAATTTTTATCAACGGTGGACCTCTGCTTTCATCTTGAAGAAATTTAGCACTAAAAGTGGCAAACGCAAATGATGAATTGTATACACGGATATTTTGCCTAAATAATTTTGCTTCTTGCTCATCAGAAAGAAGTAAGTTTTTCAAAAATAAAGGATATTCATGCAGCGGAGGTATATGTATGTTATCATTATGGCAGCAAGAATTAACAGAGCGCCCTTTTGCAGAAGCAAATCTCAAAGCTCCACAATAACTGCATTTTGAAAACATTTTGCCAAGACTATGTTTTGCCACTTTGATAGGTAACAATTTCGATAAATCACCAGCAAACTCATGTTGTTTTGATTTTAAAATAGGTGGATTAGGATTTTGGTCCATATCATTGTCAACATTGCGAAAGCGAATTGGTACAGTGTGCATTCCAACCACATTTTCTGTATTTACAGGTCTGGTTTGATGTGGGCAAATGAAAGTCGATGTTGTTGCGACTGTGTAGCAATTACACACATTCTCTTTTAGCTCAACCTTTGTTAGTTTAACTTTTTTTTTGTTAGTTGAATCATCATTAGGTTGTATAAGCAAAAGAGCATTATTTTCTTCTATACTATGAAGTTTACGTTTTTCCCGCTTTCGATTAGCTTTCGCATTGAGTTGCGACTTTTTAGTAATGTTAGGTCTTTTCTTTTTAGGCATTACTTGTAAATAAACAAATCGAATTAAGATTTAAAACCAGATTAAACTTACGAATTAACGTTTTAGAAAACAAATAATCAGATTAATCAATATATCAATACGAAATAAGTTGAGATGTTGTAAAACTGAAGAATGAAATTCTAACTATTTTGTGATTGGTTGCATCTCTGAAAAAGAAAATTCAGACTTGTAAATCGCTTTTTTAAGCTTGCCGTTTTCAGACATGTGATTGGCTGTTGTGAACGGCGGTTATTCTTCATTATTAACTGCAAAATCGTGCTTTAAAACTAAAATAAATAAAAATTTAAAATTATGTAAAAGATTTGAATGCCCTAAATGTCATCCCTGAAAGATTCTGAATGAATTGATTCCTTAATCTTAGATATTCATCACGTAGTTAAAAAGTTTTTCAGGGGACAAAATTAACTGCAAAAACTTTTTTTTAGAATAGAGAGAAAACTTTACCGTCATGAGAGTTTTTGCACAATAATTAAATTTAAAATAAAAATGGATCATTATCCTTTGATCGATTTTATTTTCTTTCAAGGAAATGCAGAATTATTTTTATTCATACTTTATTGAACAAGATTTATTCAGTCTCTGAAAGAAAAAAAAAAATTGGAATTTTTTAAAAAAGAAGAAAGTGTGTTTTTTTTTACAGTTTTCTCTTGCTAATAAACATTTAGGATCAATGGAAATTTAATCTTTCTTAAAAATTAAAAGATTAAAGAAGACATTTAGGAAAAAAAAAAACTATGTAGTACCAAAATAAGTATTTTACATTTTTAATTTTATTATTATTTATAAAAGTTTTACCAGTTACATCAGTTTGCGTTTATTTTAAATGGAACAATTATGTTTGGAAGATTTATTTTTATCAAGTTTAGGTTTAAGAATATTTAGAGTATTAAGATTTAGATATTAAGAATATTTTATTTATTTCATGTTCTTTAAAAGTAAAGGATAATTATTGCAAAGAAATATAAAATATTGCATTTAAATTATAAAGTATAATAAAAACATATATTTTTGTTTTTTCAAAATATTAAATATATTATGATGTATGACGCTAACAACTTGTCATTTTTGACAACAATAATTATTTAAAATATTTTCAGTACTATAGTTTTTCTGAAAACTAAATTCATATTTTCTCCAATTATTTGCAAATTTATATTAATTTGAAGAGTAGGACAGGATGTCAGAACTAACTTATTATAAGAAATATTATATTTTTAATTATACAGACACATTTTTCACCTTAAAAGTATTATAGATATTATAACTCTTGATAGAATTAAAAAAAAAATGTTTGTTTGTTTTGCTTCAAAAATGAGTTAACATGCTTATCTCTCTTATATTTTATTTAATTATTAGAATGATATTTTTTTAATTATCAGAAAATTCCAATTAAACTCGATTTTAAAGCCTGATGTTTGACCGGTGCTTTAATAAGACATAAAAATTAAACCTTAAAGAAATAAATATAGTGTAAACGATATATAGTATAAATTAATATAATATATTTATAAATTTTGTATATTTTTCCTTAAAATTACTAGAGATATAACTCAAGATATAAGCAAATCATATATTCTTTATTTAAAAATGAGTTAGTATGTTAGTATGCTTTCCTTGAAGCTCATATTTATTTAATAATTATAATGATATTTTCTTTATTTATTCGTAAAGTCAGATTAATCGCGATGCTACAATACGATGTCTGAAGCATAATACGTTTTAATAAGATATGAAAATTTTTACATGATATAACACTAAATAAATAAACACTTTTTAAACTTTTAATGAAAAAATTCAAAATAAAAAATATTTTTAAAAACCACGTTTTTGTAGTGGAGAATAATAATAAAAAAAAATATTGAAAAACGAAAAACGTGGGACGCATGAAATACATAACAGTAATGTTATATTAGTGTGTGTATTGAGAATATGTGTATGTATATCTGTAATTGTAATTGTATCTGAATGTGGAATATGTTTGTGTATATGCATATGTATGTGGCTGTGCATGTGTATGAATATGAGTAAGAAAATGTGTATATGTATGTGTATATGTACTGTTATGTATTTCATGCGCCCCACGTTTTTCGCTTTTCAATTTTTTTTTAATTATTATTCTCCACTACAAAAACGTGGTTTTTAAAAATATTTTTTATTTTGAATTTTTTTATTTTGATATTTTTAATTTTTAATTTATATTTCTTAAAAATTACTACTTTTTAATTATTATTCTTCACTACAAAATACGTGGTTTTTAAAAATATATTTTTTTATTTAGATTATTTTTTTTAGTCAAGAGTAGTAAAGACCACCACTAAAATAATAACAATACCTTTATGACTTTCATTAGTTTTATGCTGATGATAACCAAAACTATCTGGAAATGAATGAGGAAAAACTGGATCCTACCACGTGATTTTTCAGCCAATAAAAATACTTCGACAATAAAAATCTTTTCACCTGACATGTAATACTAATTTGAAATAATGGAATCGACAACAAAAGACAATCTCGAAAATAATTTTTTTTAAAATTTTAATTTTATTTTACTTTGTATGTCTTTTTTCTCCACATTTTCATGCATTGTCATCCAATTCTGAACTATGTGCCAAATTTGAAGTTTGTAGCTAGTCGGGAAGTTAGTTTAAAATCGATTACAAAATTCCACCCGGACAGACATACACGAAGGCAAGTTGATATAAACGTGGTAAAATAAGGTACTCTCTATAATGAATATGAAGTATCGCTTCTCGATCAATATAAATTAATTGTGAAATTAGAGTTTGATACAAATTGTTTATTAAAAGGCATTTCATCCAAGTTATAAGCAAATGAAACATTGAATGTGCTCTTTAGTAAACCACAGCACTCTTCTCTCAATTGTTTATTTATAGGTCCTCCAGAAGCATTACAGAATTGCACAGTGGTTAATCACACAGAAAACTCAATCCAGGTTGATTGCATGGAAGGTTATAACGGTGGTTTGCCTCAAGTATTTACAATTGAGGTTTACGACGTTGATATTGGAAAGCTTCGGTCGAATGTCACTTTGTCACAATCAAGCTTTACGATTCAAGGTTTGCCGAGTAACACTGCTTTACATTTGGTAATATACTCAAGTAATCTAAAAGGAAGAGGACCGCTTTACACTTTAGCGGCAACCACTCTCCAAAGAGCTGAAAAATTAACAGGTAATTTGTTTAAAATACCATAGTTTGGTTTAAATTTTTTTTTATAGTAAGTATTAATATTGATATTAATCAATTCTTATGCTTGTTACTAAAGATTTTAAATCATAATAATAAATTATTTACGCAATTATAAATACATTAGAAAATAATAAATTATACAATTGTAAATAATATATTATTATAGCAATAAATAATAATTATATATATTATATATAATTTATGGTATAATATTGATAGGTGAAAATAGAATTTACGGTTGAGGCACCCAACGTGCCGGTGATTTATAACGTTAATTTATTCCGCTATTTTTCACAGTGCTGGGTATTGGATCCATGTTTGTTAATAAGGCTCCTTTCTTTGAAATAGAGGCAATGAGTTGGTTGAATCGTAATTTGTTCTTGGCTCACCTGAACCACAGTAATCAAGCAACTAATTCACGATGGTCGAATGAACCATAGTATCGTAGGCATCGGAATAATGATATGAGAGGAGGTTTTCGTGTTTTAATTTTTTTGTTTTTTTAAGCATTCATATTAATTTTTTATGCATTACCTAATGCTTAAGACATCTTTAATGGAGGTGAATTCGATCTAAAGATCACTCCAGAAACTCCCATGATTTTTGAGACAGATTACGGATTATAAGGCTAGAGATCTAAACTTTGGTAACTATGGTAAAATTTTAAAAATTTTTTTATAAGTGTCTAAGCATAATATATTAGGTATGTATCAGTATTTTTCACTCACGCCTTAAAAAAGTCTCACATATAAAATAACAAATGAATCTGGGACATCTCAATGAATACTGCGCAAGTTTCCCCATAAATAGAACCAGTATCGAATTCCAGAGGTGACCTTCTTGATGGTCGATTCGTAATCTATTCCCATATTATCATTGCTAGAGTGAAATATATCTAGTGGTAGACTGATCATGCGTTATATTTCCCCTGAAGCTTGCTAGCCGAGAATTTGTTTTAGGTTCATTCGTTTTATATAAGACGAGACATAAGATAAGACATTCGAGACATATTCACTTAAAAGGTCTTTACTAAAGATGATTATGACTCAGAGCATAACCCAGAAGACTTCTTTCTAAGGTTCTAGAATCTTATCTAGATCTCTAAGTTCAGTTCAGAATCAGAGTACTTTGGATTTAAACGTTAGTAACTGCAAATACAATATGGATTGGTAGTTCAATTGGTGTTATACTCTAATGTATAAATTTTTAAAAAGATTCATGCACTATTTTTCTTCTGAGGGATTTATTATATACATTTGTAAAGCTAGATATTTAGTACGTTCAATATACTTGATCAGAGAAATACGTAAAATATTCATATTAATTTATAACTCTCAATTTGTCTTGTGAAGAAAATGAGTACATTCATAATATTCAACTCTTAAATTGTTAACAAAAGATTTATCTTTAGAAAAGCACTAATTATACATAACAATATGATAAAAATTAATTACAATTATTCATAAGGAAATGATTTTATTTAGACAAGTAGAATATTTGTTTAATTCATAATTTAATTTCGAATATTTAATTGGTTGAACAAACAATTTACGTAGCTGTATTTTCTTATTTCCTTAAAAGCTTTTTTTAAAAAAGCAGCACTTTTCCGTTTTATAATTAATCTTTTCTAGCAAAATTATATATTTTAACATTATATTCTTAAAATTAAAAATTAAAATAATAAGATTAATGTCCCTTAACGAAACTCTTCAAAATCCTTCTTAATTGTCTCTTTCATAATTAAATTTATAATTACGTTTAAGTAGCCTAGATTCGTAAATATTTTGCTGAGAGCTTAATTAAATTCAACCTTAAAATCCACATTATTTTAGATGTCACAACTAATATAATAAATTGCGAGACACAATTTATGAAATTTTCATGTTCAACAACTGTATTTGATTTATTTTTAAATGTATGTTACTATTTCTATGTATACTCAATAATATATTTAACAAAAAATAGAATCACAATATATTATATTATTATCTGTGACAGCGATATTTTTATTTCATAGAGAATGTCATTTTCAAATAGTAATAAGTTACTAAATAGTTTTACATAATTTTGATGACACCGTGAAATTTTGTAAAAAAAAAATTATTAACCCCAAATTTCAAAAATTAAAAATATATCGACGTTTTTTAAAAACAGATAATTTCGCAGGATACTATTTTTTAACAAAAAGAAATGTTTAAGAAAGATATCAAATAAAAAAAAATTACAATTCTGGTTCATGGTTAAATTGATCACGTGTTAGCCATTTTCACATATATGCTCATAACCCAATTTAACACCACTAAGTACTAATTAATGGAAAAGCCTAATAACATAAATGTTCCATTGATACGCATTTTTGGGACCTAGGACAAATATTTAACTTTGGTAACACCAAAACTCTTTGCATCTTTGTAACTAGAGCTCATTTTTAGGCTCTTGTTTTATATTCAATCCTTTGTTAAAGTTGACTCCCATTTAATACCAGTTTCGTATCTCAACTTAATATCCTGTAAACTGCATCCTGCCATAATTTGGCTTCTTTGGTCACCATCGTGTACCTCATCTACCATAGTTTTCTTCTTCTGCAGGAATTATTTCAATTTCTTATTTTTAATTGCGTTTTCTCTCTTTTTTTTAAACATATTGTAGCTTTACCCATTAAAGTCATAATTTGTTTACATATCTTTCATGGCCTACAGTAGTGGCACAACTCAAGCCTTTTTTTGCGGATTATGCGGGATCCAACGTGAACAAATTTTTTTTTACGCTCAAATGTTCATGCAATATTTTATTGATGCTCGTCATACTAATGTCCAAAGACGCCTCTATCTCACGGTTTGTCACATGACGATCTTGCTTTATCAGTTCACGCACAGCATCGATCTTTTCTGGCACAACAACGGATTTTGGACGACCTGCACGGGATTCGTCCTGGATCGAACATCGACCGCGATTAAATTCGTTATACCAATTTTTTACAGTGCTGTAGGATGGTGCTTTATCACTGAATTAAGAATTAAGTTCATCGAAGCACTCTTGTCTTGACAATCCACGTCGAAAGTTATGAAAAATAATGGCACGAAAATGTTCACGATTCAATTCCATTTTTTGAAAGAGAAGAACTTTTCAATTTACTGTCAACAACACAAATGAAGCTATAATGGTAAATCGTCTGCTGAATTTGTGTTTAAAAATATCAAACTTTCGATTAAAATCGTCTGCGGTCGCCTAGCAACACTTACTGTTGCCAAGGCCAGAAATATAAATAGCAACCCTCGTATTACAGCCCATCAGCTATATAACACAAAAAAAAGTTCATATTCAAGAAGTCACTATTTTCAAAGAGTCACTTTTTTTCAACTAAATGAATATTTTCTTCTGTTAGCTACTTTTTATTTCTTAAGTGAGTAAAAATCGTTTGCGTAATGTGAAAACAGTTCTTTTTAAATCTGAAGAATTCTCATAGAATTCTGGCAATTCCAGTGACTCCTTTACTTTTTTACCCTTTAATACTTTTGAAACTAATGAAGTTCATTTACAAATATATTTCACACAAAGACAAATACATTGACTTCAGTTTCTTCAGTTCATTTCACCGTTTAATATTTCAAATGGCTCTATTGTATAAAGTAGTGCTTCAGGTAGCCGAAAGATAATTAGATGTCAAAAGATAAAAAAAAATTACATTAACAAATCAGTTGATTTTACCTTCTTGTGAAATGGAGATAGTTGTATTTTAATGCACTTTTGAGTAATACATATCCAATGGAGAAGGGATTTAGTTTGTAAGCGATTTTCGCTGATTCGCAAATTACAGATTAAAAAATGCTTCACTACACACTTTAATCGAAATAAAATTGGTCCACAGCAGGACTTAATGACGAAATTAATATCAATAGGGAGGTTAAAAAAGGTCCATCTTTACTGTACACTAAAAGTACCTCATTCAAGTACATTCCATCCTCCTTCTCCAAGCTTAGTTGCCAAGTCAATCAAAGTTCCATTATTTAATTGTCAGATCTAGCATTGATTTCCCTAATATTCTGAATGCGGTCTTATTTCTTGAAAGTCTGGGAATAATTAATATTAGAGATTCAGAACTAAGCAGGCAATCACCAGACCTCAACTAGATGGGGCATAATTAAGACATGTTTTAGAACCAATAACTGTCGAATATGTTTGGCTCTGAACTTAACATTCGTAAGAGACGAGGAGCATTATATTTTGTGATTTGAGAAAATTACAAAGTAGATTTTACTGGAGAAGGGGATTAGGCACATAAAACTACTTTATAATAGTATAGATTTATTTAAATACAAATGTAAACCGCGTTTGTTAATGGTAAAATCTTGTTGTTATAATATTTTTGTCAAAGATTGTCATTATTTTTAAAGAACACAGAAATAAGTTTTCTGAAATGTTGCATAACCCAGAACCAGGTGATTCGGAATTCTGCCTATTAAATATGTTTACTATAGACAAGATAGGTACTGTTTAGCCTTTGTTATTGAAAGCGTTCATATAATTGATGTTCGTATGATTTTTCATATCATAGGTGTTCACCAAATCATTCTTACTTAAGCATCGTAAACTGTTTTTTTTCCTCTAGAAATTTATAAAAATAAATATGTAGGCTTTAAAATCTGGAAGACAAAGAAAATTACAATTAAAAGTCGTACTGTATATTTAAACTTTTTGTAATAATCCTAATCAAATACATATACAAAGGATACATATACAATGAATATGATCAAATACAATGAAAAAGTACACATGAGATTCACTTGTAAAATGTTGAAGGAGATGATAGTATTGCAATGCAAAATAACAAGCGGTTATGATTTATAATGGCAAATGAGGAATACTTTTAAATATGGTTTGTTAAACTAAACATGAAGTACTTAGGCATTCATCCAATTGAAGAATGCTTAAAAGCAAACGCATATAAAGAAATTGAAAAATGCAAATTTACTTAAAGATGTAATACTTGTGTTCACTGTTTATATTTTGTTCAATATCAAACGCTCTGGAGAATTATTATTCAATATGAAACACTTAATATAGGTGGATTTTTTTCCTCAATTTTCTTTTTCAACCTCATTATATAACCATTTAATTTTTTCCATAAGAAATGGAAATTATGAAGTAGGAAACATGCTCATAATAGGACAAATAATAATAACAAAAGAAGAATTGCATTAACTCTACCACAAATGTATTATAATGCATAGAATTTTTTTCAAATTAAAAAATTCTAGAGGAATTTTTTTTATGGTATTTTGAGATTTAAAACCTTACCACAAGATATTTTTTGTCCATTTATATTCGTAATACTTTTCAATACCTGAAAGTATAATCCTATTGCTAAACTTTTGTTCTATTCCCAGTGGTTTGTTACGCGGCAAATTAGTAATACGTTGTAGCTTTTTATCTTAAGTACAATTATACTTACACCTTAAGGATCTGGCAAACCTAGAAAAACGTTGTTTCCAGTTAATCGGAGAAAAATTTGTTGTGAAGATTAGGTACCATTTGGTATTATTTACTAAAATTATTTTTAAATGTTCATTACATTAACATGGATAATACATTTATGTGAATAATCTACATTAACTTTAGTACTTTAACATGAATAATTCTTAATTTTAAGAAGCTGCCATATTGAGAGATAAGAGCTTTATTTGGCGAAACCATTAATATTCGTATTGACAAGACGTCGTTGTGTTCGAAATCCTTAAAGTTTCGCTAAACCTATAAACGCACTTACTACTTTAGCAGATGCTGAATATTTTATCAACCAAATAGGTTCATCGTAAAAGGAAAGGTTACGATAAAACGTGATTTTAGGCATGCCACTTTATATTAAGAGTCTTCAAGATTATCGTTTTTAATTTTTAATTTCTTGAATAACATGGCAATTTTTTTCTCTTAAGGAACGGAAAAATTAAAAAAAAAGTTACAGCATCGTTAATATTATCCCTGAAATATATCACTTTCCGAACTCTTTTAAATTAGACAGAACCAACCATTAAAGCTAGTAACCGATATCTTGCAGTCAATCATAAGATTAATTGGGGACTATTGTCGTTCTAGGAATGGAAGGCATTATCATTATTCGACCGGTACTAGGCCTCCTCATCGGAATTGTAGTTGCTTTGGTGATTATTGCCCTCATCATCATTGTAGCCATAAAAGTCAAAAAAAGGAGAAAACAGAAAGGTAAGTGCATTGCATTCTCGTTGCTTTTCCTAACAATAGCAATTTTCTTTATTATGGTAAATTGGAATTGGAGAATAATGCTTTGGATAAGTTACTTCAATAGTCATTCAATTGGTTTGAATTGGTGTTGGGGAAGGTATAAAATTATTTTGCTGCCTTAACTAATTTTTATTGATTGGATTTATGTCAGTGACAGTTACTTAAAAAAAAGAAGAAAAACAACATTTGCATTATGAACAACCTGTGTTTTCATTAAAAAGTCTATTTATAAAGTTGTTTAAGATATTATTAGTGGTTAAGTGGCTGTTTATAAAGTGCTTGTTTGGGGAACGTTTTTAATTCTGAATGTTATTTGTCAAATATTATGCGTACCAATAAAAGTATCCTCTAATATTTTATTGGCTTAAGTAGTGTTTTTGATATTATGGGTAAAATTTATAGCCATCGATATATTGTAATGACTATTTATTTATTTTTGGTTTATGCTAATGAAAAAAACTCATTTTTTTCAGTATTTATAGCGGAATGAGATCAGGTAAAGCAAACCTATTAGTATGAAGAATTTGAATAATAATAAATAAAAAACATTACAAGAAATTGCAAAATTTTTACCCACTTGGAGGCTAGTTTAATGTTAAAATAAATTTTTTTTTTAAATATAAATAGCGTTTTCGCTCTACTGGAAGAATATACATTTAAAGGTCAATTTTATGCGGATAATAAAATTTTTAAAATTGCTATATTTGAGTATTCTTTTGGATGAACTGAAAACTCTAATATGTATAACAATTTAAGAGCATTTTGATACAAATTTAATGATCCAATCTCTTAAATATATACCTTCNATATATATATATATATATATATATACAACAAAATAAATGAATACAAAAAAACACGCAGAAAATTAAGAAAAACAGTAAGTTTCATTTATCGCGCATAAGCTGCAAGTAAACAGAACTCATTAGATAAGTTCAAAATGAAGATAAGACAAAGGACAACTTAGGACATGATAAAACAAACTTAATGTGTTCTATTTTATTTGTTGTAATTTTCCTTTGTTTTGTATTCATTTTGAACTATATATATATATATGTTACCGTTAAAGTATATAATGCAGTTATTTCATAGAATACCTAGTTATGCCATGAAATAACTGATCGTGTCCGTTAAAGTGTGTAATATGTTATTAATTTGACACTTAAACTAGTTATTCTATGAAATAACTAGGTATTCTAAAAATTAACTAATGAGAGACAGTTAAAGTGTAAAATAAACAATTTATCTAAAATGAAATAACTAGGTATTCTATAAATAAACTAATGATCGACAATTAAAACGAAAAAGAAGCAATTTATCTAATTTATGCAGCGTATAAATGGTAATTATGGAAACTTACCATTAAATCATTTGCTACAACAAGGATTACTAAAATGACACTTGGAATTACAAAGAACATTACTTCTAAAGCAAAAACATTTTTTGTTGACACACTGGGTTTTACACGAACATTTTTTAAATCCCTGACCAGTACCTAAACTTTGAGCTGTAGAATATCGATTATTTTACACTTTAACGTGCTGCAGATCGTTATTCTATGAAATAGCTGGGTATTCTATAAAATAACGGATTTCATACTTTAACACTAACACTAACACTAACAAACACACACACACACACGCACGCACGCACACACACATATTCTCTATTTTGGTACTGGTTTTGTACAAATTTGAAAATTTGCTGTTAAAAGGGTGATTTGAACATTGTTAAAGTGCATTAGATACTTCACATTTTTGCGATGTATTATATAAGATAATGGACACTGTGTTAAACAAAAGTCATAAAAATGCTCTCCTAAGAAGTCTCAAGAAATTGTCACGTACAGTTGATATCTAAATATGACTATTTCTTATCTTATTCAGTCATATCACTTTTTAAAAAGTTTATGGCTTTTCCTAAGCAGTTAGTCAATGTAGTCTTCTCATTAATGAAATAAGATAATTTGAATGAAACTTGCTTTGTGTTTTCCTTCTGATACTTCCTTATGCAATTACACCTTTCACAGCTCTAAAAAAACTTTATATAACTCGCCGAAGCAAGGCTTTGTTTTTTAATTTTAATGTTTTCCTCAGCATTCCTGTTATAAGGAAAAATATAACTTAAGAATACTATTTTTCTTGCCAAAACTTCTTACTGACTAATTTACTTAAGGCTTTTTATTCATGTGATTGTTTTTAAGCCTGTATTCTAAAAAGAATGCAATCATACGATGGCAACTTAACGATTTAGATCTACACATGACACAATGCAATTATTTAAAATATTTGTCAAAATATTATGTTAATATGTATGCCTAAAATATAGTATAAAATAAGGATACCTAAATATAATTTAATTCATGCCATAAAAATTCGGCGTAAGAATATAGTTTCTAATTGTTCAAAGTAACCAACGAGGAAATTTTCTTTAAAGCTATGCTCATATCCTTAAAGATTTACAAATAAGTTTCCTTCAATCAAATATACTCTTAAATAAAATCTCCAGTTAGTTATAAGATAATCGAATAAATAAATTTAACTTAGCGTTCTGCTTAGTGTTAACTTAGTCACTCTTGAACTTTTATTTATTTATACTTTTCACGATGACAATAAAAAGTATTTTTCTTTAATTGGTGGGAGAATATAAAATTAGAACAACTGTTTTACACAACAATGTTGTAGAGATTTAACAAGGATACACACAATAAAACAATGTTTTTTTTTATATACATCTAGCATTGAACACGCATTGCATTCAAGTGTCAGCTGCATTCACGCTTATTCAACGGAAACAAAGACTTAATACAAAAAGTATAAAAAGAAAAGTTTTTTTTTTCTTTGAGCTCTAGGGACTTCCAATCCCAAGTCTAGCTTCTGAGAATCGCCCCTTGGGAACGTCACGTTTGCCTTGCGACAAAAAGACACTCAAACCCAGGGAGGAAGAAGGGCGATAAAAGATCTCGTATAAGAAAAATAAAATAAGAGCGAGAATTTCCCAAGCAAAGACAAATATGTGCAAGCAAGTGATGATAGCTGAAAGAAAATATAAGTTCCGACAGTTTTCTAAGCTTTAGTAACAATATGAATTATATGGAATATTTATGAAGATTATAAGTATTTTGCAAAATTAAGAGGAAATAATTGATTTTATTTTAATTTACTAGGAAAAGAAATGCTTGGAACGAAGGGCTTCTCTTTCTGGCTTACACAGTCAAAAAAAAAAAAAAAAAACCATTCTTCCTATAGACTCTCTCTGCAGATTTGTACTGTTCCGTTGACAAAATTGTTTTTCTTTCTTTTTAAATCTACTCATTAACATAATAAAATAGTCAGTTCGAATTCTAGTATATGCCGTGCAGTTTTAATAACTGTACTATAGCTCCATTTCTTCCCAAATCATTTTACGATTATTTTCTATTCTTGGTCTTAATTTTCAAGAATTATTTCATAGTTTTGAACATCGAATAAATAAAACTGTGATTCGGTTTTATTGTCAAATCGATTTTCTACCTGATAATTCTATTTCTTTCGGTATAATGTTTTCGTAAGTCAAGTTACCAGATATTTTTATTCGGATGAATCACAACAGTTCTAAACACTTAAATGAAAAAAAAAATTATTAAAACACGAAACTATGAGATTTAAAACTTATTTTGCATTTTTCCTTCAAAATTAACCTTTTTCGGTGCGATGACTATCATAAACATTTAGCAACAATAAATTGCTGCAAAAATACATGCTATTTTCCGTTCTGAATGGCATTGTCATTTTCTGTTCTTTTCTGACAATGTTCTATGTATAGACCCGAATGATAAAGATTTGATCAGCAGATTAAAAGTTCTGGAACGTGTTTGATACAGCAACCTTCAAAGTTCTGTCAAAACATAGCCCTTCGAATAATTCACCGATTCAAACTTAAGCATTAGAACTCTGGAGACTACACTTTCCCTCCCTTCTTATGTATATTCACAATGAAACTGTCGTCTCAAATGAAATAGCTCAGTTTGAATTAAACATAAGTATTATATCAATGACATATGACTAATTGCTCTGCACTGAAAATGATAGTTACGGGGTGATTCCTTATTGTAATTTCACCAATGAGAAGCAGACAATGATAAATGAACAGCAATTGATTTAAAGCATTATTTGAGTGAGAGAAAATTAGAAACTGCTGTTTTGAACAGGTTTCTGAAATAGCCTGTGGCCATACCAATACGCCTAATGCATAATTACAGTCAGTGAATGACTCTAAAACTGGAGTGCATTTAAATAAACAATCTTTATTAGCAAGTTCAAAGTAAAATGGCGCCATTAGCTTATGACTAGCATTTAACTCTTTGAATAAAAAAATAATCTTAAGGACACTAGCATTACTGTAGCATTCAAGAACGAAGTGCCAGAAACGGACAAATAAATCTCAGAAGTCGTGATATTATTGCTCTTTTTCTTTTTAGTAAATTATGAAAAAAATGCTCTAGTAAATGATGTAACTACAATAGATATAAAACACAATAAGAAACACTATATAGCCCTTCAACTAAGCTATAATCAAATTGCAAAGTTTTATTTTGAAACCAAAGTTACTAATCACTTTGAAAAAATTTTGATCTAAAGGTGATAGAAAAAAAATTCAATTCAATTTTCTAAAAAATTAGATCTGTAAAAATACGTAAAAAGTCATATTAACATTTAAGGGTCCAAAGTTTTGAGCAGACTATTGAGACTATAATTTCCAGATTTCCGTCCATATTTTGATGGTCCGCAATCTTAATCCATCTAAAAAAATTATGTTTATTCATAGAATGCGCATTCTACATCTGATATCACTGCTACTTTAAATCTGTTTAATACTAATTAAATATCATGTCTGAGATCAATCCCATGAACCATTAAGATTCAGTTGCGATATGTGAAAAAATCCGATCATTAGATCAAAGGATTTTTAAGGTGTTTTTTTTTTGCCTTGTACGCAACCACCTATCTTTTAATATTATTAATATACCTCCATATTTTCCATATTAAAATCACACAAAATACAGAACTTCAGGGAGATCTGTGTGTACACATAGCTCTTGCTTGTAAGCCTGCCTAATCCAATATCACTCATCAATTGATCACTCATGCAATTGAGTCATGGTAATAAGAATTAATTTGGAACCATAATTTTGTATAAAATGTCTGCTTAAACGCCCAGGCTGTACAGGGAGGTTCATTGAGGTTTACTTAGAATGAAGAATGTTACTATATGAAATTCTGTTATATAGGCTAAGTTTCTTCCCGCGGTAACTTGAATACATTTCTTTGCTTAAATTTAAGATTCTGTTAACCATCATAAATAAAACAAAACAAATTTATTAAAAAGATAAATTATTGTGTTAAGTAAAACTTCTTCTTAATCAATACTTTTGTTTATTTTATAGATTGCCAAGGTGTTATTGGACTCTCTGATAAGTAAGTCATTTATATTCTATTTTACCTTTATTTTAAATCTCCTAGAGAAAGATTTGATATATTTAAATATAATATCTCCATGTAGTTCTACTGAATATAAATTTCTTTTTTTATTATGTTATTACAAGCTGCTTATTTTTTTTCATTTTACAAATGTTGCCCATATGAAAAGTGGTACAAAAATAATACTTTTATTACAAAACAAAAGAAATCATCATTGGTGATGTAAAACAGGTTCTATCACTAAGGTATTAGGTCTATGTCTTTGCTGTAAAAAGATTGTGTTTGATTCTAGAAGTCCTACACAGCTACCTTCAGTTCACCGCCCGAAATGGTGGATGTTATAACACTTCCCAACTGCAATTTTAAGTGGTTTTCTGCTTTTTAAGGAAGGCGTATGGGTGGGCATATTCATAGAGAAGGATTACTTTCCGTATGTGAAGATCTGGCGGTTTAATTTTGATAGCTTTACATCACGTCATCATTCCTTGCGCAGTGTCATTAGATTACTGCAGTATTGTGTTGAATTGATAGTGGTCTCTTGGGGTCGGGGGTCAACGTTGTTTCGATCTGAGCGCATCTATATATATCACAGCTGTACTTTCGATTAATTTCCTCTACTAGGAACATTTTTACAACTGAGCGCTGTATGCAGTGCACACCTCTCTAGCCCTTTATATCCCTGTTGGTAGTGCTGCTATAGCTGAAGTCATTCTGGTGCAATCGCACAAGTGTAATTTTTATTTAAAACCTTCATATTGATTGGAATGCTATTTACGGAACTCACGTTACAAAAGTTTTCTTTTAAGGGTTTACACATTTTTATTATTGTAAACACGCTCTGAGCCCAATGGTAAAATTTAAGAAATTAAAAATTACTTAAAACGCAAATGCAACGTTAAATGTAGAAAACTTTAAATACAATGCTTGTTAACTACTCACTGTGAAATAGTTTTTAATGAATAAAACAAAACGAAAAAATATTCAAGAATCTTAGTTAGTATATTACAAAAAGTTGCAGCCTATTAATTTTTTATGGATTAATGGAAAAATGGGGAAAAAATCTGAATCTTAGACATTGCTAAATGTAGGCTAGGGAAGGAGTGTTGTCAAAAAATTTGCAAGATGACTACTGGCAGTTGAATGCTAATGGTTTAACCTATAGAAATATTCTTTCTCTATGAAAAACATCCGATTACCATCAGATTGCCTCGAGATTATTCGAAAAAGTGAAATTTAATACTTGGTGACTTAATTTATTTAATGCTTTAAAAAATACTGCAAATACATTTTTCATCGAAACCAATTTATAGACGTCAAGGAAGAGTTGATGAATGCGTTACCAAAAATATAAATAAAATCCGTCAATTTAAAGTTCGCTTTTCCGTGCTTCGAAGAAAACATAAGCTACTGTAAAAAGCATGAGAAAGTTACTTTCAACTTTATATTCTCTTTCAAACTCGAAAGTAATATTTTATCCTTTGACAACAAGAATGTGAAGTTTATTTTTTTCTTTCAAACACAATGGGACAATTTGAAATTTGAACAACTTTCTACTGCTGCTAGGGTTTCAGTGTACGTAAAAGTCTAAAATGCCTGGGGATTTTTTTTGTATAAAATACAACTAGAAAAATAAAATACATTTCTGGGAAGTATAAGGCTTCAGAAGTTGAACAAAATGAAAACAAACTCTGTGTCATATCAATATCAAGTGTATGCTTGTACACACTGTATACAGAAAAAATATAAATAAATACTTGCTTACATAGTAATTAATACCATCAATATGAATTGTGTCCTCCTGACAGAGCATTGAAATCTACTTATTTAATTTTAAACTTTATGAGGTAAATATTTTCATTAACTAGCATTGTTATTAAAATTATTACGATTATTCTGCTATACTTTTTAATTTATCAAAGCATTTCATTTTTGAAAGGAAAAAAGAAAACGATAAAAGTAGACTTTTAAAACAGTATTCAGGCAAAATTACAATAATAATAAAATTTCTGATTTGAAGAAACAATGATTCCGGTTCATTAAATTAAGTTATACGGTATTTAAACCATTCATTTGGTAATTTTTCCATTCATATTGTAACAGTTTTCCATGTCTTCAATCCGGGACTTTAAAATTATGTTTTTTCGTACCACACATTTAACAAAAAGGCGAAACTAAAAATTACTAGAAACTAAAAAATACATAACTGAAAATTAAATTTTGGAAAAATTACCACATTTACTAAAATTTATCACAAATTATAAAGAAAAATAAATATTTTTCTATTGAATTTACCAAAACCATTACTACAGCGTTTAAATAAAAAAAAAATAGTGAGCTTTTTGGTGTTCTCAGCCAGAAACATGGTATGTGTTACCATATTCTAATAATTTTGACCATGTTTTTTTACTCCGTGCGCAATAAATTTATTGAAGTAAAAAAAAATGGGTAACAAATCTAATAAAGAAAGGAAAAAGTAATCGTTGAGATCAAAACCTTTAGTTTAGGTTACTTTTCTTTCTTACTGTAGCATTACTGGACGAATTTATTTGCCTTTATTAAGATATTTCAACGGTGCAATAAGTGATTTTTTATGTAGGAAGGTTTAAAATAAGTGTTTTGTAAATGTCCTGCCAAAAGAATACTTTCCAAGAACGCATTTCCCTTAAAAATGCATAAGATCAAGATCGTTTTTTTAAACTAATTTCTACATTATCAAATTGATGAAAAAGAAAAAATAATGTTGAATAGAAAATTATAAAAAAAATTTGACAAAAGTACTAATATAAAGGAACAAAAACAGGTTAAGGAATTTAAATATTTAAATATTTTATTTGTTATAGCTTAAAACAACATTCAAAATATTAACGAGTGCATATTTTTCTTGCAAAGTGATTTGTTTATAAAAAGATTTTAATTTAATTCATAACAATAAGCAATAAAATTTAATCAGTTTAACATAAAAAAGCAAATTTTTAATTTTTAGAATTACACAAATCAATTCACTGTATTTCATTTTGTAAAGTAAAAGTATTTTCCTAAATATAATAGATAAGATTTCTTAAATATTCTGTAAGATATAAAATGGATTGTTACAATGTTTGCAAAAAATATTTTTGAATATTTGAAAATCATTCTATGATATATTTATTTACATTTGAATTTCAAGATTATTTTTTAATAATTTTTGAGAAAAAAATGTAAAAAAACCACTTCCGATAAAAAAGTAAAGTCGTAGAAAATTACAAAAATATATGATACACCTGAAGGGTACAGTTTTCATCAAAATAAGCATAACTGAAATATGTATTTTATACCACAAGAAATTGCAAAAATTTAAACTTGATAATGAAAAATAACAGTTTCATACAAAACAGCTACATTTTCTAATTTAAATATTCATAACAGTTTGCTTTATTTATTATTTTTTTAGACTGGTTCAAAATATTTTGAGCATCGAAAATCACGAATTTTTCAATCCAGCACAAGGCAATATTTTCCCTGAAATCTATATATATACAGAGAATTTTTTATTTAAAACAAATATTTGAAAAATATGCATGACATCGTATTGAGTCTCCACAAAAATCCGAAACAAAATATTAACGTAAGAAAGGCTTCAAATATTCTAATAAATATTAACTGCGCAGTTGTCTACAGTAAAACAGCACTGTATATAGATTAGTAAAACACCGAACCAAGACTGAAAATATAAGTTTCCTCATTGCTCAAGAAATAAGCATTCATTTTTCCAATAAAGTTATGTTCTCATAAAATATAAAACTGTAAACCACCAAGAGAAAAGTATAGTTATCATTAATACATGAATGTTTGTCATCCGTCTCTGAAAAAGCCCATGAGAAAAGAATATTTAGGATTTCATCACGCTCTAAGATTTGGTTAATATATACAAAATGAAACTGCGTATCTCATAGGATGTTTTTATTCCTTGAGTTAGGGCATGTAAGAGCCATGAAGCAAATAAATCATTCCTACAGAGGAAAATGATACCCAGTGGATATTCAAGGGATTTTATTTATTCACTGCAACAACGAAGGTGTGTTTTTTGTTCATACGGAGAAATGTTCCTACCAATCTTTTTACTAAATAATACTCATTTGTTTTTGCTCTTATATTTTGAAAGTGGAAAGAAAATTTTCTGTCTTACAGTACTCTTCTGCAAACTGTGTCGCTATTCCCTCCTAAAAGTCTTTGTTGAAGTTTCCAGTATAAATACAAATTACTTGTTTATAAAAGAATAAAGAAAAAATATGTTAAATTAATACACAGATTTTACAAATGGTATGTCTCAAAAACGGTAATTTAAGACAATTTTAAATATTATTTGAGGTAAATAAAGCGTTTTTAGCGTATCCTCGATATATTAGTCTTGTTTAAAATTAAAAAAAAGGTGTACAAGAATCACACCTTACATACTCGAACTTTATTTCAAGGTAAACTAACTCACTGTAAATCTTGAGATTTTCAAACTTCATTAAGTACACTCGTTGAAATGTAGTAATGTTGTCAATAACTGCTAATGAATAGAGAAGGTTAGCCCAACAAGGAAGCAGGTCTCCAATGATGTATCTACATTAATAAACTTTACCATATCAGGGTTTCATCCCAAAACACGTTAATAATGCCGCTTCACGAAATTATCTTATAGTTCAAATTTTAGCACAATATTTTTTTTTTTTAAATTTCTAATGCCAAAGGAAAATGACCAACTCTTACAAGAAACAGTGAACAAAAAGGTTAACAACAAGTGAGAGAAAAAAGTCACTATCTCATTAACTGATGTCGGGTACTCCAGTAGCGCCTCATCTCAGAGTCCCCACGCAGAGCCGAGCATCTCAATAGATGGTTCCTGTCCATAAGTTCATTAATCGAGCATAACGGGTAATTTGGATCAGCGAGAATGCCAATGCGGCAGAGGTGGTTCGCCAGGAAATCATGGCACACCGCAAGTCTGAATTCTGCAACAGCTTTATTGCGGG